TATTCTATTCATCTATCTGCAGCCTTTCCACTTCCTGTTTACTGTAGGCTAAATCTTTTCTCACGGGCAAACAACAAAATAAAAATATCATTTTATCTTAAATGAAAATGCAACATCTCACCTGTTAACTTTCATGTTTTGGAGCAGAAAAAGAGCATAAAACCAACATATTTAAAGCTCAGTTTGCTCCACTGGTTTACTGTGATGCTCACCTGTTCCAGCCAGATACCTGCATCATGGGGTTGATCTGAGCTGAGGAGGAGACTCCTGTTGTTTTGTTCATCTTCATCATAATAATGACAACATTAGATGACAACAGGTGCTCACATAGGTTTGTGCTGATGAACATGTCTGAGCAGCTTGACCACGTTGTTGTGTGTCGGGGAGGAAAAATAAAAACCACAGCAGCCACAGAGTCGTGCTGGTTTGAGCGTGTCGCTGCTCGCTGGAGTTATATCAGCTCTGTCTGGAAGTTAGCTGGAAAACTTTCTCTTTCAGTCGTGAACACATTACTGAGCGGTTAAAATCTCCGTTTCTGGGCTTCAACGTCGACAAATAGCTGAGTAAACTCGGCGCTTAGTGAGAGGAGTGTAGTTTGTTCGAGACAGCGGAGCTGCAGACACCGGCAGCAGACGCTGGAAAAAACACAAAGGAGGGGGCGCTTCGGCTCCACGCTAACACCGCAAAGCATCATGGGAGTTGTAGTATTTGCGGTAAAATCGGCGAGCAGTTCAGTTTTAATATATTTTTGATATTTATCTCACAGGCCACATAAAAATGCTCTGCGGGCCTTGTGTCTGACACATGTGCTCTAGACGCTCCATCTGCCTACAGCCATCAGCCATAGGACCCTTCATATTTTAGTCTCTATTCATTCTTCTGCAACAGTGTTCTCCAAAGAACTGAGTCCATGGTGGTAGTAGCCACCTGGACATCCTCCATCTTTACTCAGGTGTGACAGTTTATAGTTTACAACGGCTACCTCAGTGTACAACATCCTTTCACACCACGTTAGCCGCTTCAAGCTAGTCAAATAAGTCAAGTAGCACATAATTATTTTTTGTTTTTTGCACCAATTTGATATTTTACTCTTCAGGATGAGTCGGGAATACTAAATCGAACCACAGACATGTCATTACCGTGTTCCTGGCCCCGTGGGCTAATCTCTGTTTGTTCACATGGTGTCTAAACCAAACGAAGCTCTGAGTCCATATTTGTTTCAGATTTGGATGTTTGCGTAAGACGGTGACAGATGCTTTCTGTGCTTACGGATCCTTCTCATCTATGTACAAACCTTTATTTGTGAATGCAGCAGATTTCCTTTATAGAGATGTAAACTTGAACACAGAATGTCTCATTTTTGTTCTACATCATGACAAATTTCTGTCATTTGGCCTAATGAGTTAAGGATTACTGGCAACAATATTCTATCCAAGATGCTGCAGTGATTTTATTTAAAAGCACGGAGAGTAATCACATTAACATCCTGGCGTAATTCACTGTTTCTTTTGTCTGCAAGCCTCTCCAGCGAGCGCATTAGCCCAGCCACTGCTACCCTCCTGTAAACACACGGCTGATATCTCATAACAGCCCCGATATTATCACGAAGCAGCTCCTCGCCTCCCTCTGAGGCTCTTCTTCATGTCAGCGAGTGAAGCGGGGCGATGTTTCATAAAAATATCTTCCTAATTCTGCAGTGATTCATTGAGAACAGCAGGCTGCAGCTCATTTCTGCCGTCCTCTTTCTTCTGCGCTGTCCAAATCCTATCAAGCTGTCATTTTGAAGTCTGGTGTGATTTGGGCTTCGCCCCGGGGTGGTGCACAATTAAAGCTCCTCTTGGCCTGAAAAGGGGCACGCAGGAACTGCTGGCACCTCCTGAGGCATATATCACCCTCCCTCTGTCTCTTGCTTTAAAACTCCTTCTGAAATGTCCGTCTTAGCTGCTGTTTTCCCTCCTCCCTTTCTTTGTTTCCATCTTTCCTTTGGCTCCCCGTCCTTCATCCTCTCCCTCCTCACTTTTCGTTTTCTTTCCTTTTTGTCATTTTAATGATTCAAAGACCGTTTTGCCTGGCGGTTGCCCCGTTCGCTCTGCCTGCTTTGGATGAGAAAACACCAGCTGCTAATTGATCAATTAGGCCAAATCCAGATGACATCATTGTAACTTGCATGAAAGGAGTTTTACTGCTGCCATCAAAGCCACAGGCAGCCAATCACATTTAGCCATTTAAATAGATCATCCCTAATGTATTAGCTTTACCAGGTCATGCGCTCAATTTGAGATGCCACTGATGTTCGTAACACCTGGCTATTGTTGGATAAACTTACAGGTTTTTGCCACCAAAACACCAAAGAAATCAGTCCTCGCCTTTGTCCTGGTCTGCGTCCTGCGTCCCCCTCATGTGTCCCCCGTAGGTTTCCTGTGCCCCTTTAGGTCTCCAACCCCTCCAGGTGCCCCTCTAGGATCCCCCTCGTGTACCTAAGCTTCCTGTGCCCCTGCTTGTCTCCAGCTCCCACCACGTTCACTTATTCTTTAGTTTTCTTTGTATTTATATTATCTAGCTAATTTTTCCCTGTAGTTTCATAGGTTCAGGTTTTCTTCTGGGTTCCTTCCTTGGTCCTTCCCCACCAGTTTATTAGGTCTCCTTTCCTCCTGAGATCATTAGTTATTTGTCTTGTTCTTCTAGTCTTTAGGTTTGGTTATTATTCATAGCTCATGTTTTATTTCCCCTCCTCAGCTCAGTTTCCTCTCCCTGATCAGTAAATTCATTTCACCAGGTTTCTCTCTCCCCACGCACCTGCAGCTCTCCTCCCAATCATCCTGCCCCGTGTATAAAACCCTGTCTGCGTCTCAATGTGTTGTTGTTTCATTGTCCTTGTCAGCGTTGTTTGTTCCCCCCCTTAGGTTCTAGATTATTTGGCTAATTCATCTTAATAAAGAATGTTTTCATTGACATCTTCTCCTGCCTCGTGTCGTTCTGGATATCTGTGCATCGGGTCCTACTCCTCCGACCCACATCGTGACAGCCTTTTCTTAAATGTGAATTTGAGACCGTTCTATCTTATAGTTCTGTTATATTAGGACTAATAAAGACAACAGAGAATAAATAAACATGAGTCATTGAGATTTTTTAAATCTCAGTTTTAGATCATTGTAAAGAAAAAAACTAACAAAGACGGAGCTAAACAAAGTCTACACTTATAAATCCACCTGTGTGATTCTGACTAAAACTCCTCAGTTTATAGCAAACTGTCTCATAATGTCTATTTAGATTGTCTCTAAGCTTTAAAAACAAAATTGGCCTTTTTTCCCTTTTTGTGGGTATATATATATATATATATATATTAGGGCTGCTCAATTAATCGAATTTTAATCACGATTACGATCTGAGTTTTGAACGATTATAAAAAACATAACAAGCCGATTATTTGCTCCTCCCGCTTGCGCTGCCCTAAGTTGCAAATGAAGCGCTCCTCACAGTGTTGCCAATTTAGCGACTTTGACGCTATTTCTAGCAGCTTTTCAGACCCCCTTCTTGACTTTTTAATCCTAAAAGTACCTAGCGAACATCTCAGAAACATCTCTGGTAACCCTTAGCTACTTTCTGGATAACTGTCGTCGACATTTCCTGCAGGTTAGCTAAACACTCCGCCTGCGCTCCGGACCGTTCTTCACAACATTAGAAAAGGGAATGATGCAGTGATGTCGCTAAAGACAGCTCTCGGAGCCGGCTCCTTGTTGGATTAACCAGAGTGAGTGACACACACACCGCACCTGCGGTCTCCTGAGCAGCTAAAAACAGCTAAATGTGCGCGTGCGGCGTGCTAAACACACGTGCAGCTTGCCCGATTGTGTGAGACCGGGGTGGGGGGGTGGGGGGTGCAGCTGTGGTCGGGACAATTATTACATTAACTGATGGGCCTGTAAATAAATAGTTTATAAATAAGGTAGAAATAAGTTACTCACGCTGATAACTAATCTCTCTGAGGACACAGTGCTACAGCACCTTGACACGACTCAATAAATGTTATGTAACATTTTGTGAACATCAGTTTATTTGCATTTATTTGTTATAAATGCCACTCTATAATTCTTGCTGTCAGTATTTGCAAGATATTGGTGTTTGGGTCTGTACTAGTTAGACTTACATGAGTTAAACCAAGGTCTATAGCCCTTGGGTCATAGACTATGAGCTATAAGTATATTGGTCCTTTTATCCTGGGAATCAGGAGTTTTTTAGTGATCATCTTGTTTCTTATTTTTGTCCTGATTGTGCCCTGAGCAGTTTTATGACTGAATAAAAACAAATAAAATCAACATAAATTGAAAAATCGTCCTAAATAATCGTGATCTCAATTTCAGTCACCATAATCGTGATTATTATTTTTGCCATAACCGAGCAGCCCTAATATATATATATATATATATATATATATATATATATATATACCCATATATATATATATATATATATATATATATATATATATATATATACCCATATATATATATATATATATATATATATATATATATACCCATATATATATATGGGTATATATATATGTATATATATATATATATATATATATATATATATATATATATATATATATATATATATATATATATATATATGGGTATATATATATATATGGGTATATATATATATATATATATATATATATATATATGGGTATATATATATATATGGGTATATATATATATATATATATATATATATATACCCATATATATATATATATATATGGGTATCTATATATATATGTGTGTATATATATATATATATATATATATGTATATATATATATATATATACACACACACACCTCCACTAACAGACATCCTTTGAAGCTACTTCATGTAAACGCCTGATTCTGAGTTTGGTGTTGCGTTTTAAGGCAGATGGCAGAGTTGTTACATTTGTTCTACGACCAAACTCAACTTATTTAAAGATTGACACGTGATCTTTAATTCCAGATCCACGTCTACTGCTTAGAGACGGGCAAACCGACCGTTCGTGTCGGCAGCTCGCCGGGAGATTTCACCTGCATCGACCTGAGAAACAGCCCTCCTCATCTGCTGGTGTGTGGAAACAAGGACAGGAGGTAGGACATGAAAAAGTCTTCTTAGTGCTGATGGAGGATAAACAAAAACAATGCATGAGTGCAGAAAACGGAGCCAAGGTCTGAGACGGTTGGAAAGTTTTCCCAGACTGACACCTGATGACGAAGGGAACAGGTGTTTGGAAAATGTGTGAAAAGGGAAACCATTACAGTTCTGCTTTATTAAACACCTTCTGTTTCCTTGAGAAAACAAAAGTCTGAAGAATTAAAAAAACTCATAGAAATTTTCACCGGCGAGTGTTTTGGGCTCTTTGTTTCCTCCGTTACCTGGTTTACAACGCGTCTTTCACCGGTGATTCCAGGAGTACACAAACATCCGTGAGTACACACACTTGCAGCGACCTGGCTCTCCGTTTGAGGAAAACAGATAAAAGACCCATTCTCATCCATTCTGTGCTTGTTAGTGGGCGCTGCGCTGCACCAGACGCCAGAAAAGGAGAAATCCCTGGCATGTCTTCGTCCAACGCTGCCCCTGCTGCTTCTATTCAGCCCCAAACCCATCTGGCTGTTAAGTAGCTGGCGTAAATCAAAAGCGGGACCACATCACATTGTTTAGGGTTTGTTTTTTTTCTCCTGTCTTACTAATGATCAACAGCACCTGCACACCGACAAAGATAAAAATATTTAGTCGGTGGCTTCACTTTTGGCTACTTTATGAGATTCTGCCCACAAACGAGCTTGGCTCCTCCACTTTGGCTTCTGCTGATAACGCTCGGAGTGTGTGTGTGTGTCTGTGTGTGTGTGTGTGTCTGTGTGTGTGTGTCTGTGTCTGTGTGTCTGTGTCTGTGTGTCCGTGTGTGTGTGTGTGTGTGTCTGTGTGTGTGTGTGTGTGTGTGTGTGTGTGTGTGTGTGTGTGTGTGTGTGTGTGTGTGTGCGTGTGCGTGTGCGTGTGCGTGTGTGTGTGTGTGTGTGTGTGTGTGTGTGTGTGTGTGTGTGTGAGGGACAGTCAGTAAACTTGGCCCTTCTTCAGGGTGGCTCTGTGCCAACCTCTAATGCATCTCCTCATTTTTATCCAGACATCACTCTGGATTTTTTTGAGGGATCCAAGGAAGGAATGAGACGTCCAGATGAGGACGGTTTGGACAAAAGGACACATCTGTGCAAACAGGAAGGATCTCAGTTAAGAAGGAAAACGAATGCAGTGGAAAGAAGAGAGAGAGGAAATGTGTGTCTCACCTGGTGCTTCATACAGGATGTGTGCGAATGTGTGTGTGCATGGGTGAATGACTGATTGTGTTGTAAAGCGCCTTGGGGGGGAGGTCTAGGACTTGGGGGCGACGGTGGCACAGGAGTTAAGTGCTCGCCCCGTAATCGGAAGGTTGCAGGTTCGAGCCCCACTCAGTCTGTCGCTGTCGTTGTGCCCTTGGGCAAGACACTTGACCCACCTTGCCTGCTGGTGGTGGTCGGAGGGACCGGTGGCGCCAGTGCTCGGCAGCCTCGCCTCTGTCAGTGCGCCCCAGGGCAGCTGTGGCTACATCGTAGCTCATCCCCACCAGTGTGTGAATGTGTGTGTGAATGGGTGAATGACTGGTTGTGTTGTAAAGCGCCTTGGGGGGTTCCAGGACTCTAGAAGGCGCTATATCAAATACAGGCCATTTACAAGGAAAATACAAAATCAGCAACTAGATGGAAATAAATAATAAACATTGGTTGTTAATATCAGCTCCCAGCCTGGGATCTTTCTGCATGGAGTTAGCATGTTCTCCCTGTGCATGCATGGGTTCTCTCCGGGTACTCCGGCTTCCTCCCACAGTCCAAAAACATGACTGTTAGGTTGAATGGTCTGTCTAAATTGTCCTTAGGTGTGTGTGTGATTGTTTGTCCTGTGTGTCTCTGTGTTGCCCTGCGATGGACTGGCTCTCTGTCCAGGTTTGTACCCCGCCTGATTGCCCGTTGACCGCTGGAGATAGGCAGCAGCCCCCCCGCGACCCTGCGTGGACAACGCGGGTTCAGACAATGGATGGATGTTAATATCAGCCCAGTTTCACTTATTGGACCGACACAACTAACTATAACTGTAACTAACATCCCTTATTTTAACATAGTTTAATAGTTATTATCAGAATTCTGCTGACATATTTAAGTATTTCTGTCCTTACCGTGGACGCAGTGATGCTGCAACACCATCAAGGTGACAGGATGCAAACAAACACCAACCCGGTACCAAAAGGGATGCTTTTATTTTCCTGGTTTTGTTTGTTTTGAACCATCAGGCATGTTGGACTCTAATAACCTGCTTTTCCTCGCGACTAAAGAAGTGAAACACATGAATTAACTCAAGATACTCGGTGAAGTTTCACACAAGTGTAAAGTCCAGAGAAAGATGATGTCATGCACCCAGAGAAGTGGAGCATTTACAGCTTTTTTTGTCCCACATGTTGAATAAAACATAAAAAAAACTCTGCAGCTCAGTTCCAAATTTTTGGTGAACATAACAATTCATCGGGAACTCCAAAGTCTCTGGTGGCCATGAAGTCGCAGGACTGGACCGAACATTATGCTCAGGATGATTAATGTCTTCTTCTGGCTTTAGTAAAGTAGCTGTTCAGGAGTTATTTGTGCCTCTCCCACACTTCCTGGTGATTAATGAAGACGAGTCTGGCCGCTGACAGTTCACTGAAGACCGTCTCCTCCAGCATTAGGTTGATGGTTTCCTGTGGTCTGCCTCTAATGTTTATCCCTCATTGCTTATACGTGCGCCACCGCCGTGGAACGCCTCTAAACGGGCAAAACGAGCTGCAGACAAACAAGTCCACCGTGCCCATTTAGCCATTTAGCTCTGATTCCTTTGAAAAGTTTAGATTGTAGAAAATGAAATCTGTCCGTGTCCCAGGAGTAAATCTGATTATGGTAATGAAGACTTGGAAGGAGGCTGAGCCTGGATGGAGTCATGTCCTGGATGCTTTCAGCTGCACTAAAGCCACACGACAACAGATGGAGCTGGAGGTCCCCTGGGCTTTTACTGCTAATGAAACACACAATGCAGAAATCCTGCTCTTGTTGCTTTTCATCCAGCACAGAAAAAAAAACATTAAAGCGCATCATAATTATGATTAAAGCAATCACATTATAATAACTCATTAGTCTAACCACAAAGTTTTGCAGAAATCTTTGTAGGAATTGTTTAAAAACAAACATCTGAACGTTTATTTGACTTTAAATACACACAGGAAACAGTTTTTGTTTGTTTGTCTGTTGCTACTGAATATGAGGTTAATTGTTATTTAGAGATTTTTATACAACTTCAGTGTATTTACATATTTATTTAGTAATATTCTTGTTTTTTAGCTTTTAAAATTTTTGCTGCGTTTAGGAGCTCAGATGCTCTTTTTTATCCATGTGTTCTTACCCAAATGATGTTGTTTAGTCGTTACCGTCCTTTGGTAAAAAGAAAGATTTTTCCGGATTCAGGAAAATGAAACATCTTCCATATTTAGTTACATTTCTGTTAGTTCTGACCAGAGCTCAACCAATATTGGTTTTTCTATTAACCAACACCAATGCCAATATGGTCAGCCGATGGCCGATGTGCACTGCCAAAGTCTCGACATTTTCTATCTCATTTTAATGCTAAAGTGTCAACATTTCTGAAGCTGAATGAGTTTTTGAACTGTGAATTTAACTCGTCTCGTCTCGTCTCGTCTTCCTCCGCTTATCCGGGTCCGGGTCGCGGGGGCAGCATCCCAACTAGGGAGCTCCAGGCCGTCCTCTCCCCGGCCACCTCCACCAGCTCCTCCGGCAGGACCCCAAGGCGTTCCCGGACCAGATTGGAGATGTAACCTCTCCAACGTGTCCTGGGTCGACCCGGGGGCCTTCTGCCGGCAGGACATGCCCGAAACACCTCCCCGGGGAGGCGTCCAGGAGGCATCCTGACCAGATGCCCAAACCACCTCAACTGGCTCCTTTCGATCCGGAGGAGCAGCGGTTCTACTCCGAGTCCCTTCCGAATGTCCGAGCTCCTCACCCTATCTCTAAGGCTGAGCCCGGCCACCCTACGGAGGAAACTCATTTCGGCCGCTTGTATCCGCGATCTCGTTCTTTCGGTCATTACCCAAAGCTCATGACCATAGGTGAGGATTGGGACGTAGATCGACCGGTAAATCGAGAGCCTGGCTTTCTGGCTCAGCTCCCTCTTCCCCACGACAGATCGGCTCAGCGTCCGCATCACTGCAGACGCCGAACCAATCCGCCTGTCGATCTCCCGATCCCTCCTACCCTCACTCGTGAACAAGACCCCGAGATACTTAAACTCCTCCACTTGAGGTAGGACCGACCCTGAGGTGGCAAGCCACCCTTTTCCGGTCGAGAACCATGGTCTCAGATTTGGAGGTGCTGATCCTCATCCCAGCCGCTTCACATTCGGCCGCGAACCTACCCAGCAAGAGCTGAAGGTCAGAGCTGGATGAAGCTAGGAGGACCACATCATCCGCAAAAAGCAGAGACGAGATTCTCCTGCCACCAAACTCGACACACTCCACACCACGGCTGCGTCTAGAAATTCTGTCCATAAAAGTGATGAACAGAACCGGTGACAAAGGGCAGCCCTGGCGGAGTCCAACCCTCACTGGGAACAGGTCCGACTTACTACCGGCTATGCGGACCAAACTCACGCTCCTCTGGTAAAGGGACTGAATGGCCCTTAACAGAAAGCCACCCACCCCATACTCCTGGAGCGTCCCCCACAGGGTGCCCCTGGGGACACGGTCATAAGCCTTCTCCAAATCCACAAAGCACATGTGGATTGGTTGGGCAAACTCCCATGCCCCCTCCATCACCCTTGCAAGGGTATAGAGCTGGTCCACAGTTCCACGGCCAGGACGAAAACCACATTGCTCCTCCTCTATCTGAGATTCAACTATCGATCGGACCCTCCTCTCCAGTACCTTGGAGTAGACCTTTCCAGGGAGGCTGAGGAGTGTGATCCCCCTATAGTTGGAACACACCCTCAGGTCACCCTTCTTAAAGATGGGGACCACCACCCCGGTCTGCCACTCCCTAGGAACTGCCCCCGATGACCACGCAATGTTGTAGAGACGTGTCAACCATGACAGCCCTACAACATCCATAGCCTTGAGATACCCAGGACGAACCTCATCCGCCCCCGGGGCTCCGCCGCTGTGTAGTTGTTTGACTACCTCAGCAACTTCTGCCCCCGAGATCGGACAGTCCATCCCCAGGCCTCCCAGCTCTGGTTCCTCCTCGGAATGCGCATTGGTGGGATTGAGGAGCTCCTCAAAGTATTCCTTCCACCGTCCGACTATAGCCTCAGTTGACGTCAGCAGCTCCCCATCCCCACTGTAAACAGTGTGAGCGAGTTGCTGCCTTCCTCTCCTGAGGCGCCGGACCGTTTGCCAGAACCTCTTTGGAGCCGATCGATAGTCTTTCTCCATGGCCTCACCAAACTCCTCCCACGCCCGAGATTTTGCCTCGGCAACTGCCACTGCTGCACCCCGCTTGGCTATCCGGTACCTATCTGCTGCCTCCGGAGACCCACAGACCAGCCACGCCCTGTAGGCCTCCTTCTTCAGCCTGACGGCTCCCCGAACCTCTGGTGTCCACCAGCGGGTACGGGGGTTGCCACCACGACTGGCACCGGCCACCTTACGACCACAGCTAGCAACAGCCGCCTCGACAATCGCAGAGTGGAACAAGGCCCACTCGGACTCAATGTCCCCCACTGCTCTCGGGACGTGGTCAAAGCTCTGCCGGAGGTGGGAGTTGAAGACCGTCTTGACAGGTTCTTCTGCCAGGCGTTCCCAGCAGACCCTCACTATGCGTTTGGGTCTGCCAGGTCTACGCGGCATGTTCCCTTGCCATCTGATCCAACTCACCACCAGGTGGTGATCAGTTGACAGCTCCGCCCCTCTCTTCACTCGGGTGTCCAAAACATACGGCCGCAGGTCAGATGATACGACTACAAAATCTATCATCGACCTGTGACCTAGGCTGCCCTGGTACCAAGTGTACCGGTGGGCATCCTTATGTTCGAACATGGTGTTCGTTATGGCCAAACTGCGGCTTGCACAGAAGTCCAATAACAAAACACCGCTCGAGTTCTGATCAGGTGGGCCGTTCCTCCCAATCACACCCCTCCAGGTCAAGCTGTCATTGCCCACGTGAGCATTGAAGTCCCCCAGCAGGACAATGGAGTCCCCTGATGGAGCACTATCTAGCACTCGTCCCAGGGACTCCAAAAAGGGTGGGTACTCTGAACTGATATTTGGCCCATAAGCACAAACAACAGTCAGGACCCGTTCCCTGACCCGAAGGCGCAAGGAAGCTACCCTCTTGTCCCCCGGGGTAAACCCCAACACACAGGCAGAGAGTCTCGGGGCTAACAAAAAGCCAACCCCAGCCCTCCGCCTCTCACCCGGAGCAACTCCAGCAAAGTAGAGTGACCAACCCCTCTCCAGGTCTCGGGTTCCAGAGCCAATGCAATGTGTCGAGGTGAGTCCGACTATATCTAGCCGGTACCGCTCAACCTCTGCCACAAGCTCCGACTCCTTCCCCGCCAGCGAGGTGACGTTCCATGTCCCAAAAACTAGTTTTCTTGTCCGGGGATTGGACCGCCAAGGCTCCCGCCTTGGTCTGCCACCCGATTCACATTGCACCGGACCCTTCATGTTCCTCCTGCGGGTGGTGGGTCCACAGTTGGACGAGCCCATGTATCCGGTTCGGGCTGGGCCCGGCCGGGCCCCATGGGCGAAAGCCCGGCCACCAGGCGCTCGCTCACGGGCCCCAACCCCAGGCCTGGCACCAGGGTGGGACCCCGGTAACCCTCCGGGCCGGGTACTCCGACTCTTCGTTTTAACCGCCATGAAAGATCCTTCGAACCGTTCTTTGTCTCACCCTTCACCTAAGACCAATTTGTCATGGGAGACCCTACCAGGGGCACTAAGTGCCCCAGACAACATAGCTCCTAGGATCATTAGGGCACTCAAACTCCTCCACCACGATAAGGTGTTAAATCTTAACTTTGACCACTGTTAAAGTCAAACACCTAAATAAAGTTAATTTAGAGTGTTTTTCATGCAGATGTTATTTAAGAAGGTAAAATACATTTAACTTAATTCTGTAACAGCACCGGACTACACGAGGATGTACCTGACCAACTTTCTACTCTCTCCACTGATTTCCCTCTTATCTATTCATTTTCTCTCTCCCTTTCCGTACATTCTTTTTTAATCTAAAATTTAATTTAATTTTCATTTTAAACATATTTGTAATCACTTTTTGAAATCTTTTTTATACTTGAAATTATTTTTCTTGTTAATGCGAAGCACCTAGTGAGTTTTATCTTGAGAGGCAATTTGTAAAAGATTGTTTTCTTTCTTCCTTTCTTTTCTTTTCTTTTCTTTTTTCTTTCTTTCTTTTTTATTTTTCTTTCCTTTTTCTTGTCTTTTCTTCCTTTTTTCTTTTCTCCTTCATTTTTTCTTTCTTTTCTTCCTTTTTCTTTCTTTTTCTATTTGCTTTCTTTCTTTCCTTTTTTCTTTTTCTTTCCTTTTCTTTCTTTTTTCTTTCTTTTCTCCCTTTTTCTTTCTTTTTTCCTTATTTCTTTTCTTTTTTCCTTTTTCTTTCTTTTTTCTTTTTTCCTTTTTTCTTTCTTTTCTTTTCTTGTCTTTTCTTTTTTCTTTTTCTTTTTTATTTCTTTTCTTTTTTCCTTCTTTTCTTTTTCCTTTTTCTTTCTTTTCATTCTTTTCTTTTTCCTTTTTTCTTTCTTTTCTTTTTCCTTTTTTCTTTCTTTTCTTTCTTTTCTTTTTCCTTTTTTCTTTCTTTTCTTTCTTTTCTTTTTCCTTTTTTCTTTTTTCTTTTATTTTCCTTTTTTCTTTTCTTTTTTCCTTTTTTCTTTTCTTTTTTCGTTTTTCTTTCTTTTCTTTTTATTTTCCTTTTTTCTTTCTTTTCTTTTTATTTTCCTTTTTTTATATTCTCTTTCTTTCCTTTCTTTCTTTTCCTTTTTGCTTTCTTTCATTCCTTTTTCTTTCCTTTTCTTCTTTTTTTCTTTCTTTTCTTCCTTTTCTTTTTTCATTTTTCTTTCTTTTCTTTTTTCCTTTTTTCTTTCTTTTCTTCTTTTCCTTTTTCTTTTCTTTTTCCTTTCTTTTCTTTTTTCCTTTTCTCTTTTCTTTTATTTTTTCCTTTTTCTTTTCTTTTCTTTTTCCTTTTTCTTTCTTTTCTTTTTATTTTCATTTTTTCTTTCTATTTTCTCTTTATTTTCTTTCCCTTTTTGTTTTCTTTCCTTTCTTTCTTTTCTTTTTCTTTTTTCTTTCTTTCCTTTTTCTTTTCTTTTTCCTTTTTTTTCTTTTTTCCTTTTTCTTTCTTTTTATTTTCCTTTTTTCTTTCTATTTTGTCTTTATTTCCTTTCTTTCTTTCTCTTTTTGTTTTCTTTGCTTTCTTTCTTTCTTTTTCTTTTTGCTTTTTTCTTTCTTTCCTTTTTTCTTTTTCTTTCCTTTTTCATCTTTCTTTCTTATTTGTTTCTTATTTGTTTTTCTTTTTCTTTCTTTTTCTTTTTATTCTTTCTTTTGTTATTTCTTCCTTTTTATTTTCCTTTTTTATTAATTTTTTGATTGATTTTTAATTTTTGAGTTTTTTCTCTTTCTTTTTTATTTCTTGTTTTATTTTTTGTATTTTTTCTTTTTCTTTTTTCATTGTTGATTTCTTTCTTTTTAATTTGTCTCTTTTCTTTTTCTTTCTTTCTGTGTTTCTTTTTAATTTCTTTCTTTTTTATTTTTATTTGTCTATTTAATTATTTAATTCTTTCTCTTTTATTTTTCTTTTTTATTTATTTCTCTCTTTTTATTTTACTATTAATTTTTCTTTTCTCTTTTTTATTTTTCTTTTTATTTTCTTTTTATTTTCTTTTTTCTCTTTTTTATTTCTGTTTCTTTCTTTCTTTCATTCTTTCTTAAAGACAAATATTAGCCAATGCCAATGTATAACATTAAAGTAAATACTGGTCCGCTAAAGTGGTCTACCCTTAATTCTGACTGAATCATAGACTCACTTTGCATCATCTTACATTTTGTCTTGTAAAATAAAACATTGAGCTACATCTCATTAAGTCTGGAATTAAAAGCGTCTGTCTCTTGGCTGTTTAAGGTTTCTTCCTGTTGAAGGGGAGGTTTCCTCCGAACTTATGAATCTTTTGTTTTTTTGTTTGTTTTGTTTAGCACATAAAATATCTACATTTTCTCAGAGTTTTTCCTATTTTTTAAATTTCTGCCTTCTTTAGTTGCATATGAAATCCAAAATTTTGTTGCTTCTCTGTAAACATTGTAAAAATCAAATCTGACTCTTAAAGATAAATTCAAATCTACGTATTTTTTATATTTAGGGTGAGAGTGTTTGACCTGCGAACCGGCACCTCCGTGGCATCCCTGTACGCCCACCACCTGGGTGTCTCCTCCGTTCAGACGGACGACTGGAAGATCGTGAGCGGCGGAGAAGAAGGGCTGGTGTGTGTGTGGGAGATGAGGATGGGAGCCAAGCTCTGGGAGACGCACAACAGGTGGGACTTCCGGAGACTTTGGATACTCTAAGTTGAATCTACACGCTTTTTATTACCACATTAGTTTAAACCTTTAATAACACAGCGTCTGCTTTTGTGGAAGGCATCCCGTACGTCACGTACGCTTCAACACCAGCACGCTGGTCACAGCCAACATCCCTGATGACAAGTCGCCTCGGGGGGCGTGCATCACCGACGATGACCTTACAGCTCATCGCAGGTCACGACCTAATTTTTTTAATCTGAGTGTTTTTCCATGTCTGCCTCCCTCTGTTAACAAAAATAGAAGTTCTGAACATTAAATATCTTATTTTACGCGGTATCTTACTATTTTCTTATCTCAGCCATTCCTTCTGTGTTGCTGACATAACTATTTTTACCCGTCAGGCACCGGGGAGTCGTGTGCCTTTACGACTTCTCTGAGGATGCCCTGTCCCAGGATAACATCCTACCCATCTGTAGGTCCAACTACACCGAGTCGTACGGCTACAACTACAACATTAACCTGACGGTGCCCTACGACAGGCTGTCTGGCTCCCACCCGTCTCACTGACCTACAATAACATCCTTAATTATGGGACTGAATGGAGAAACATCATGTTGGAAAATCTTCAGCTGACTTTTTATTTTTATTTTAATCATATTTCTTACAAACCTTCCATACTTATGAAACTTTGGTGAAATTTCTGCAACACAGCTGTAATAAAAAACTCATTTCTTTCTTGTTTCATATAAAAAAATGATTTTTTTGTAGCTTTTCTGCTAAATCCAGACGTTCATTTACCACATTTATTATGTCCATGCATGCCGATGATCTATATCTCATCTTGATAACAATCAGAACTGGTTGGTGTTACAAGAGCAGCAGCTGGACGTTGAGTCTCAGAGAAAAACACAGATGAGTTTTCTATTTTGGCGCTGCAGAGGAATGTCGTGTGCCTGCATGCTTCAGATGATCCGTGAGCCACGGGGCAGGACTTTGTCTAACGACAGAGCCTTTTGTAAATCCTTCAAGCTGTTTATAGCCGAAGAGTTCAAGCGTCTTCGATCAAGTGTTTGAAATATCAAGGATAAAAAGACTCAGAAATATGCTAAATGCACGCCTCATGGTCACGAAACTCCATAACTTAAGCTGCAAACGGAGTTATTTAGGCACAGAGACACTCGGTTAAGTTTTAAATACTTCGTCAAACATGTACATTTAGGATCGTTGGTGTAAAAATAAACATTTTCCTCTGATTAAAACACGTTTTCAGCTTAATCCCTTCTAAGAACAGAAGCAGCTCTGCAACATAAAGAATAACAAGTTCCTTCAGCTGGTGGCTTTCCCACAATGCATCGTTGTTGTGTCCACATCCAGAAAGCGAATGAACATCCTCGTCTCCATTTCAAGGTCCTTTAAGATCTGCAGGCAGAAAAATAATTAAATAAATAAACGGTGTCATCAAATCATGAAAAACAGGTTCAGGTGATTGAAACGATGTTGGAAGCTAAAGAAACCTGCTCAAAATGCTGAAAGGTGATTCCTTCGTAGTGATCTTCGGGGCTCTGCGGGGAGAAAAGAGACGTGACTTTGCTGCGACGGGGAGATTGGGTTTGAGCGGCTGGGTTTTGGTGAATTCTGTTACCATTTGGGGCACGTTTGTGCTCGCCACCTCCAACATGGCAGCATCTGCTATTTCGTGGGCAGCATCCTGATCCATGGCGCCGCTGTTAGACAGAAGTTCCTCGACCACCTCGGAGAGAGAAGACGTCACGTTTTCATTAGAAACGACAGAAACTAAGAAGGCTTTCTATGTTTTCAACTTTCCCAGACTCCAAAAATCATCTGTTCTGAAAATAAAAGAACCTCAGCGTTCAGCAGAGTGCAAAAACAAAAGCATGCATCTCCCGTTAAAGTCGTTTAAACATGATTACAGCAGAGAACATATGTCATGAGTCAAACAAGAGCAATTTAATTTACTTAACCTAAAAGCTCCTGACTCAAGGCCGCCTTTTGTTTGGTAAAACTGTGTTTTTTCTAAAGGACAACAATTAATTTGGCCTTAATTAGATTTATTTGATTCAATTACAGCTTCTATTGTCCTCATGGATCTGCATACCACAGGGCTTGTTTTAACTTCTCTATAAAGCGCTCCACATTGAATCCCTGGAGCCTAAATGTTTGTTTTACTGTCCAAATTAATACCGGAAGATAAATAACTGTCCTTTACTCACTATGCAGAATAATGCAATCACCAATACTTTATTTTAAAGAGATTTTTATGTTGCACAAAAAGCAAAATCAGCGTGTTTTTGTTTTATTTTGTTACAGTTTTACCTTCCTGTACTCCTGCAGAGTAATGATGCCGTCACCGTCTGTGTCGTGCATGTTGAACAAAACTGGAAAGACAAGAGGAAAACTGTTAAGTCGGTCAGAATTCTGTGGAAAATTCCTAACAAATCACAGCGTCAGACCAGAGGAAGCCGTGATTATAGCTGTGTTAATGATGATGCAGCGATAAAACGGGTTCTTCGGTGACGCAACACAACCAGAGAGATATCTCTTCCTTTTAGTGCTCCGATATTTGAACTTCAGCTACGACAAAATTGGTGACATTTTTATTCCCTGCAGACACGATGCCTTTGTGTTTTTATCTAAAGAGGTCAGATAAGGTCTGGAGTCAATTATTAAACTCATTTCTCCAGTTTGAGGAAACACGTTCTTTCATATAACGAGACATAGTGAGTCTCTGTTTCTCTGGCCAACGTAAACAGGAAAGAACAAAGATAATATTAGAAATGATCTACTTTTGGCTTGATGTGGGTTGCATCAGCTGCAGGTCATAGTTAATGTTTAAAAAGCTCATTTTATCCCTGACGAACTATTTCTGTTATGACGCAAATGCTCTTTTTTTTTGTCTTTTTCAAAATTTTTATTTGTATAAAATTACATAAACGTAGGAGAAAGTTATTCTTCCGTAAAGTCTGAAGCTCTGCAGGATGTTCAAGAGCACAAAATGTACAGAAAACGGAAAATTCTAAAGGTTTTACACGACTTTTCAGTTGCTTGCAACTATTAGTTATGAAATATTAGTGTCTATAGGGAAAATATGTAAAACTCAGAATTTTTATTTTGTAATTTTAAGGAAAATTGTTGCTCGGATCAGAAATTCTGACGTTATTTAATTCTCCTTAGCCAGCCATCTAGTAATGAAATCCCTGATAAAACACTGCGTGCAACACTTAAAAGGCAAGAATCTGAAGATATTTTGATGTTTTCTCTTTTAATAAAACCTTTTAAAAAGCCTCAACTGCAAAAAACAAGTTGGGAACATTTAGTTGAGGATTTTGCAACCAGTCAAATCCACATCTTTGTTCAGTAAATTGACTTTAGTCTGACCAAACAAAGATTTGCTCAAAGTCATTTCTGTGTAGAAACAGGAGCCTCAGGCTGAGGATTCAGGACTAAAACAGTCAGTCAGAAAACGGGAAAGTTCCAACATAGAATAAAAAAAACAAAACATTTTTTAATAGAAAGCGAAGCTCGTTGATTCATCAACAACCTGATTGTTGCTTTGCAGACTGAAGTTTGCAAAAGTTCTTTGTTGAAAGGCTGCAAATATTACAGTTAGAGGAGGAAATGCTTTAATTAGACCCATAAATATGTTTATAAACTGTAATAAAGAGATCATCAGCTGAGAGCACTTCCTAACACGTTGCTACTGAATTTAATCGCTGGGTTTGTCGTGTTCTGGCCGAGATCCCAGCCAAGTTTCCTTCATGTCAGAGCTGACATGCAGACAGGAATTCTGCTCACATTCGTGAGATTCTCACGACCTCCTGTCTGTCTGTCTGCCTTTGTCTGTCTGTGTCTGTCTGTCTGTGTCTGTCTGCCTGTGTCTGTCTGTGTCTGTCTGCCTGTGTCTGTCTGCGTCTGTCTGTCTGCCTGTGTCTGTCTGTGTCTGTCTGTCTGTATGTGTCTGTCTGTCTGCCTGTGTCTGTCTGTCTGCCTGTCTGTCTGTGTCTGTCTGTCTGTCTGCGTCTGTCTGTCTGTCTGTATGTGTCTGTCTGTCTGTATCTGTCTGTCTGTGTCTGTCTGTCTGTCTGTGTCTGTCTGTCTGTCTGCCTATCTGTCTGTGTCTGTCTGTCTGCCTGTATGTCTGTGTCTGTCTGTCTGTGTCTGTCTGTCTGCCTGTCTGTCTGTGTCTGTCTGCCTGTGTCTGTCTGTCTGTGTCTGTCTGTCTGCCTGTGTCTGTCTGTGTCTGTCTGTCTGTATGTGTCTGTCTGTCTGCCTGTGTCTGTCTGCCTGTGTCTGTCTGCCTGTCTGTCTGTGTCTGTCTGTCTGTATGTCTGTGTCTGTCTGTCTGCTCGTGTCTGTCTGTCTGTATGTGTCTGTCTGTCTGCCTGTCTGTCTGTCTGTATGTGTCTGTCTGTCTGCCTGTCTGTCCGTGTCTCTCTGTCTGTCTGTGTCTGTCTGCCTGTGCCTGTCTGTCTGTCTGTGTCTGCCTGTGTCTGTCTGTCTGCCTGTCTGTCTGTGTCTGTCTGTCTGTCCGTGTCTGTCTGCCTGTGTCTGTCTGTCTGCCTGTGTATGTCTGTCTGTCTGTCTGCCTGCCTGCCTGTCTGTCTCCCTGTGTCTGTCTGTCTGCCTGTGTCTGTCTGTCTGTATGTGTCTGTCTGCCTGCCTGTCTGTCCATGTCTGTCTGTCTGTCTGTCTGTCTGTGTCTGTCTTTGTCTGCCTGTGTCTGTCTGCCTGCCTGTCTGCCTGTGTCTGTCTGTCTGCCTGCCTGTCTGTCTGTGTCTGTCTGTCTGCCTGTGTCTGTCTGTCTGTATGTTTCCGTCTGTCTGCCTGTCTGTCCGTGTCTGTCTGTCTGTCTGCCTGTCTGCCTGTGTCTGTCTGTCTGTCTGCCTGTCTGTCTGTGTCTGTCTGTCTGCCTGTGTCTGTCTGTCTGCCTGCCTGCATGCCTGTCTGTCTGTCTGCCTGTGTCTGTCTGCCTGCCTGTCTGTCTGTCTGCCTGTGCCTGTCTGTCTGTCTGTGTCTGCCTGTGTCTGTCTGTGTCTGCCTGTCTGCCTGTGTCTGTCTGTCTGTCTGTCTGTCTGTGTCTGTCTGTCTGTCTGTCCATGTCTGTCTGCCTGTGTCTGCCTGTGTATGTCTGTCTGTCTGTCTGTCTGTGTCTGTCTGTCTGCCTGTGTCTGTCTGTCTGTATGTGTCTGTCTGTCTGTCCGTGTCTGTCTGTCTGTCTTTCTGTGTCTGTCTGTCTGTCTGTCTGTGTCTGTCTGTCTGTCTTTGTCTGCCTGTGTCTGTCTGTCTGCCTGCCTGTCTGCCTGTGTCTGTCTGTCTGCCTGTCTGTCTGTGTCTGTCTGTCTGTCTGTGTCTGTCTGCCTGTGTCTGCCTGCCTGTCTGTCTGCCTGCCTGTCTGTCTGTCTGTACGGTGGCTTTTACTATTTTCATTCAGACTCACAGCGGAGTTTCTCTTTCCTCATCTCCTGCTTTTCCTCCTTTGTTGTTTTCAAATTTGGGGGACGGAAGTGAGACATGACCATAACGAACTGCTCAAAACCAATTTCCTGGAAGGATCCCACTTCATTCCCATGCTGGTTCCTATAAAAGAAATCCACAAAGTACAGAACAACTTAAATGATGTGATTTAGTTCTGCAGCACTTTGCTAACCAGGTTAAAACCACAGAACCTGCTACGGCTGTGTTAGTTTACCCAGAATGGGTGTGAACACACAGACCCCCAGCCCGGGCATACCAAGGCTGGGGGTGACTTGTTCAGACCTGTGTTTGTTTCTTTTCTCACCAAGTTTTGACAGGAATTTGTTCACTAATGCAATGATTGTAGTCCATCAGGCTTTTAAAGACTGATTTTATTGTAGAAGGTTACCAGAAAGGCTTTATGTGCTTTAATCACCCAAAAAAGTCTGTTTTCTGATATATTTCTGCTGAATTCTATTTCATTTCCGACAGATACTTTTATTTTTAAGGCCTGCACCAGAAAAAGCCAAATCTGTTCTAAATTATACTGAATGTGCAGAAAAACATTATTTTTCCAATTACTTTAATCAAGCTAAAATAAAACTGCAAAGAAAGCATTTTAAGCATTTTTTTTCAGGTGTGCGAAGGCGTGCAGGTTACTGCTTGGCAGTTAATAACAGCTGATTGCAACAGGAGACCAAAAACAAGGGTTTAGTGTTAAGCTTCAACAATTATAGGGATCAAACAGAAACAGTTTGGATGCATAAACGTGTTTTTGTTGGTGAAAACCAGACAATAACATTTAACTGAGCCTTGTTGGGGTCCTTCTCATGGGAAGGTTACAACATTTTGTTTTTCTCACCTTTTATCAAAGAAAGCTTCGATGATTTGGTTTTTGATTGGGTTTTCTGCCAGAGCAGGTATGTTTTCCAGGTTTTCTTTCCTGCAGCGTAGAGGGAGAACGCAGGTCGGAGTGTGTTTGACTTGTTCAACAACAAGAAATAAAAAAATACTGGAAAGGAACATTTTTCAGTCTGAGGCTGAATGTTTAGAGGAAGTAGAGACTTCTGTTCACAGACCAGTTTTACAGCATTTCTGTAGCATCGCTTATGTAAAAAGTACATGGAATAGTAGATATGTACAAGGTGTATCCCTTCAGGTGCATTCATCGTGTTGATCAGTTCAGACACAGGTTACTCCTGAACATGAGGTTTAACTTACAGGAAACAATAAAAACTTGTATTACCTGATTATCTCCTCGTTGTCGCTCAGCTGATTAAACCTTTGATGAAGGTTTTTAATCTGCTCTAATGAAACTGTGAACATAAAAAATAAACATTTTAAATGTGAAACACTATCAGTGCTCAGGTTTAGCTCTGTCGCCAGTCATTACCAGCTGGTGTGGTGAGTCTTTATTTTATTTTATTGATTGATTGTTTCACTAAAGTTTCCCCTTCCTGCGCTCCCTCTCTCCTCTCAGAAGCATGGCTGAATGCGCGACCAGCAGACTGTGGGGTGAGCTGTGAGCTGAACGGGGCTTCTTGTGCAGGATGGGTGGAGGGTTGGTGGTGACAGCAAGAACAACACAATAAGCTCGTTTACATGAGCAAACTTGTGCAGCACAAAACAACAACGAGCCCAAGTTTGTCACGCTAATGTCAGCGCTGCTGCTGCTGAATAATAGTGATGATAATAAATCTACCTGAAGCTTCCAGAAGCACGGCGCGCGGTCGTGGAAATCTCCTGGTGCGCTCTGACGCATTCACCAATATGTCATAAAACTGGATCTACTACTTTTCTCTTGTTTACCTTTTTTCATTTCTTCATTTAAAGCCAACAAAGATCACATTTAAGGAGGGATTAAAGCAGAAATTTGAATAAAATCGTGCAGCTATAAACTTAAAATGCACGCAGGTGAGTTTATTTAAGACTTCTGTTTAAACGGGTGGCGTTTGGATTTCAGTTTATTATTTAGTGATGTTTTGACTTTTTCAAATGTTAATCTATTCCCCCAAATCAGTCATTAATATTAAAGAGGTGGGTGCGGACTCATTATCGACCCAAATGCTGCTCATAAAAAAGGAGCCAGTCGGCCTCAACAGGGAATTAAAGCTTAAACTCTAATAAAAACACATTTCCTCGTGCGTTCTTTCTTACTTACATCCGGTTTTTTCCATCAAATCGTGGTATTTGAGCTCGGTTCGAGTCTGAGAGGCTCCCATCTTGGAGTCAGTCCCACCGGTGCGTCAGGACGCACGATCTGGTTCGACTGGCTGAACTTTTCCGCGGTGTTAACAGCTTTACTCAGCAAGTCTGGGGACTGCTGGCTTCCTCCAGGTCCTAAAGTCATCCAAATTGCAATTCACGGCTCAAATGTTACTCCTACAGTAGGAGTCCCACTACTGTCTCGTATAATAAGTCATCATTATACTCTTTTATTTTATTTTTTGCAAAATGTATCAGACTTCAGAGCTATATCTGTATTCTTAGCTATTTTATGGTATGTTTTTCTGTAAATATTTATTTTTATTTCGTCCTCATTTTTAATGTTCGACTATAAAAATAAATCAAATAATTATGAGATTCTATATCATAATAAAGAGACACTATAAGTCAAAATAATCAGTTCAGTTCAATTGAATTCAAAGATACTTTATTAATCCCAGAGGGAAATTAGAGTTTCAGTACACACAATTCAGAGATCAGACACACATACATAGGCATAGACACATGACAAGAACTGGTGACTGTGGTCATTCACAACCCGAGTCGCGCTACCTTATCAGAGGGTTACATGATGATTGGGTCAGGTGGAGGGAAAAAAGGCACTTCAGAGTTACCCTCCACCAGGAGGGCAGCTTTGCTCTGCAAAAAAACACCTCAGACAGAAATGCAACAGACTTCAGACATTACACAACATAAGTGTCCACTAGGTGGGGTGGTAGGGTTGGGGACTCTCCACACGTCAGTGCATGCAGCCACGATAAGCAGCGCTTGTCACCTCCGTTTGGACGGGGGGGGGGGGGGGGGGGATGGGGGGGGGGGGGGGGGGGTGTTGGATTTAGACGGCACACCTGGAACGATTCAGCGGCCTTCACAGCTCGCAGTCCCGCCCGGGCTGGGATAGGGAGACAGAGTTGGACAGTAAGAATTTTGCCCTGGAGGGCTTAGGCCAACCAGCCATTCCTCCCCATCCCCACATATTTTCGTCCTCCTGCTCCCTCACATCATCACACAATAATGCACATAGGACCTTGGGGGGTGGACAAGTCAGGGAGTGGGTATGGACCCCATTTCCGCATTCCTGTGGCAACCTGCCGCCCAATTTTATTTGCACCTTAAACACTTCCACCAGTTGATAAAAAAATCTATCAGTATCACTGAGCATTTAAAAACATACATGTTTGATAATTAAACACATATGTTTGATAATAAACATACATGTTTGATAATTAAACACATGTTTGATAATAAAACAAATGTTTGATGATAAAACATATATGTTTGATAATAAAACATATATGTTTCATGGTAAAACATATATGTTTGATGATAAAACATATATGACATGATAAAAACATCATACATTAGTTTGTGTCATGAAAACTTGATAAAAACATCATACATTAGAATGTGTCATGAAAACATGATAAAAACATCATGCATTAGAATGTGTCATGAAAACATTAAAAAATCATACGTTAGTATGTGTCATGAAAACAAGATAAAAACATCATACATAAGTGTGTGCATTAAGACAAGAAAAAACATCATACATTAATATAAGTCATGACAACATGAAAAATCATCATTAGCATGTGTCATTAAAACATAAAAAACTAATACATTAGAATGTATCATGAAAACATGATAAAAACATGATAAATATGGAATACATTAGTATGTTTCATGAAAACATGATAAAACATAATACATTAGTATGTGTCATGAAAACATGATAAAAACATCATACATTAGTATGTGTCATGAAACCATGATAAAAACATCATACATTAGAATGTGTCTTGAAAACATGATAAAAACATCATACATTCGTATGTGTCATGAAAACATGATAAAAACATCATACATGAAAAAACATCATACATTAGAATGTGTCATGAAAGCATGATAAAAACATCATACATTAGTATGTGTCATGAAACCATGATAAAAACATCATACATTAGAATGTGTCTTGAAAACATGATAAAAACATCATACATTTGTATGTGTCATGAAAACATGATAAAAACATCATACAAGAAAAAACATCATACATTAGAATGTGTCATGAAAACATGATAAAAACATCATACATTAGTATGTGTCATGAAACCATGACAAAAACATCATACATTAGCTTGTGTCATGAAAACATGATAAAAACATCATACATTAGTATGTGTCATGAAACCATGATAAAAACATCCTACATTAGACTGTCATGAAAACATGATAAAAACATCATACATTAGACTGTGTCATGAAAACATGATAAAAACATCATACATTAGACTGTGTCATGAAAACATGATAAAAACATCATACATTAGACTGTGTCATGAAAACATGATAAAAACATCATACATTCGTATGTGTCATGAAACCATGATAAAAACATCATACATTAGACTGTGTCATGAAAACATGATAAAAACATCATACATTAGTATGTGTCATGAAACCATGATAAAAACATCATACATTAGAATGTGTCATGAAAACATGATAAAAACATCATACATTAGTATGTGTCATGAAACCATGATAAAAACATCATACCTTAGTATGTGTCATGAAAACATGATAAAAACATCATACATCATAAAATCATACATCATACATCATACATCATAAAACATTGTATGTGTCATGAAACCATGATAAAAACATCATACATTAGACTGTGTCATGAAAACATGATAAAAACATCATACATTAGAATGTGTCATGAAAACATGATAAAAACATCATACATTAGTATGTGTCATGAAACCATGATAAAAACATCATACCTTAGTATGTGTCATGAAAACATGATAAAAACATCATACATCATAAAATCATACATCATACATCATACATCATACATCATAAAACATTGTATGTGTCATGAAACCATGATAAAAACATCATACATTAGACTGTGTCATGAAAACATGATAAAAACATCATACATTAGACTGTGTCATGAAAAAATGATAAAAACATCATACATTCGTATGTGTCATGAAACCATGATAAAAACATCATACATTAGACTGTGTCATGAAAACATGATAAAAACATCATACATTAGTATGTGTCATGAAACCATGATAAAAACATCATACATTAGAATGTGTCATGAAAACATGATAAAAACATCATACATTAGAATGTGTCATGAAAACATGATAAAAACATCATACATTAGAATGTGTCATGAAACCATGATAAAAACATCATACATTAGACTGTCATGAAAACATGATAAAAACATCATACATTAGACTGTGTCATGAAAACATGATAAAAACATCATACATTAGTATGTGTCATGAAACCATGATAAAAACATCATACATTAGTATGTGTCATGAAAACATGATAAAAACATCAAACATTAGTATGTGTCATGAAAACATGATAAAAACATCATACATTAGTATGTGTCATGAAACCATGATAAAAACATCATGCATTAGAATGTGTCTTGAAAACATGATAAAAACATCATACATTCGTATGTGTCATGAAAACATGATAAAAATATCATACATGAAAAAACATCATACATTAGAATGTGTAATGAAAGCATGATAAAAACATCATACATTAGTATGTGTCATGAAAACATGATAAAAACATCATACATTAGTATGTGTCATGAAACCATGACAAAAACATCATACATTAGTATGTGTCATGAAAACATGATAAAAACATCATACATTAGTATGTGTCATGAAAACATGATAAAAACATCATACATTAGTATGTGTCATGAAACCATGATAAAAACATCATACGTTAGACTGTCATGAAAACATGATAAAAACATCATACATTAGACTGTGTCATGAAACCATGATAAAAACATCATACATTAGTATGTGTCATGAAACCATGATAAAAACATCATACATTAGAATGTCATGAAAACATGATAAAAACATCATACATTAGTATGTGTCTTGAAAACATGATAAAAACATCATACATTCGTATGTGTCATGAAAACATGATAAAAACATCATACATTAGACTGTGTCATGAAAACATGATAAAAACATCATACATTAGTATGTGTCATGAAACCATGATAAAAACATCATACATTAGAATGTCATGAAAACATGATAAAAACATCATACATTAGTATGTGTCATGAAACCATGATAAAAACATCATACCTTAGTATGTGTCATGAAAACATGATAAAAACATCATACATCATAAAATCATACATCATACATCATACATCATACATCATAAAACATTGTATGTGTCATGAAACCATGATAAAAACATCATACATTAGACTGTGTCATGAAAACATGATAAAAACATCATACTTTAGAATGTGTCATGAAAACATGATAAAAACATCATACATTAGTATGTGTCATGAAACCATGATAAAAACATCATACCTTAGTATGTGTCATGAAAACATGATAAAAACATCATACATCATAAAATCATACATCATACATCATACATCATACATCATAAAACATTGTATGTGTCATGAAACCATGATAAAAACATCATACATTAGACTGTGTCATGAAAACATGATAAAAACATCATACATTAGACTGTGTCATGAAAAAATGATAAAAACATCATACATTCGTATGTGTCATGAAACCATGATAAAAACATCATACATTAGACTGTGTCATGAAAACATGATAAAAACATCATACATTAGTATGTGTCATGAAACCATGATAAAAACATCATACATTAGAATGTGTCATGAAAACATGATAAAAACATCATACATTAGAATGTGTCATGAAAACATGATAAAAACATCATACATTAGAATGTGTCATGAAACCATGATAAAAACATCATACATTAGACTGTCATGAAAACATGATAAAAACATCATACATTAGACTGTGTCATGAAAACATGATAAAAACATCATACATTAGTATGTGTCATGAAACCATGATAAAAACATCATACATTAGTATGTGTCATGAAAACATGATAAAAACATCAAACATTAGTATGTGTCATGAAAACATGATAAAAACATCATACATTAGTATGTGTCATGAAACCATGATAAAAACATCATGC